GCAAGACTCTACAGGGATCAACTTCAATGCCGAGGCGGAGCGCAACCTGATCATTACCCTGACTATCGTGTGTTCATTAATACTCACAATACGTTAATGGCAAGCCGCATTTCTGGCCAACGTGACGGTGAAGGCATTCATAGGGTTGATCAGGAACGCAGGGAAATCGTACTTTAAGAAGTGCAACGCAATTGTAGAACAAGTACGAGGGCATTAGCTCGTAACCTTGACATACCAAGATCTTCAATACAGGATATTTTGCGTGAGGAATCATTTCACGCCTACCACATACAAAAAGTACAAGCGTTGCAGCCTTCAAATTATCAGTTGAGAGTCGAGTTCTGTAGAACTATGTTGCAGAAAGAGGAAGAAGATCCCGGATACTTTAATAAAATCTTGTGGACCGACGAGTCAAGATTTGAGCGAACTGGGGTTTTCAATATCCACAATTTTCACATTTGTGCCGTTGAAAATCGACATACCGCCAGACCATCATCATTTCAACATCGTTTTAGCGTGAACATGTGGTCTGGTGTTTTGAATGGCGAATTAATAAGCCCATTTGAACTGCCATCGAGATTAGACGGCGACACATACAAAATTTTTTTAGAAGACAATGTACCCATATTACTGGAAAATTTAAATCTTGAATTAAGAAAAACGATGGTGTTCCAGAACAACGGGGTACCATGTCATTACGCGATACAAGTGCGTCGTCATTTAGACCAGACCTACCCCAACAGGTGGATCGGACGACGAGGGCCAATTGCCTGGCCACCACGCTCGCCTGACCTCAACCCTATTGATTTTTTTATCTGGGGCTACTTTAAAGAAATTGCGTATGCCAGAGAAGTTTCGAGTGAAGAAGAATTGAGAGCAAAAATTCGCGAAGCTGAAACCACTGTGAAAAATAACCGTGAAGCTTTTAGGCACCTAAAACATAATTTTTTGCGCAGATGTAGATTGTGTATTTCTGTGGGAGGGCGAAATTTTTAAAATTTGCTTAAAATAAATGTATTTTGTTAACAATTAACTGCGTTTTACTCAAATCCATCATAACTCATAGAAAGTCAAAGATTTAAATAAAATAAAATAATTATTTTTTTTTCCTTTGAAAATGCCTTAATTTACTTTGAAGGTCAGTTACAGAAAATAAACCCCCCTTAACCCTATCTTTGTTTGGCCTTGTTTTAAAGTTCAATGTCTCAGGAAGTTTCTAAAAGTGCTTTGAACTCCAAATCCCCCCATTTACATTTTTTTTGATACTTTGAAAATTTGTGTGTACTGAGCTCAAATCGTAATTTTGAACTTTCGAACAAATTCTAAGTGAATTCTGCAATGCCTAGATAAACCATAAGTTTTAGGGCGCTAGGTTGGAATATGTTAGTCAATTATCACAAAAAAACTAAACCAGAAACGTCCAACAGAATGAGAAAAAAATCTAAAACTGATGTTAGGGGAAAATTAGGAAAAAAATCATTAAACATATTATAACTCGAAAACTACGCAAAATCGTAGAGCATACATGGGGGTGATTTGGATACTCCTCATCATAAGGTATCTATAGGTACCCTTCGTTATTTGAGTAATCACTTGTAATGATGCTCACCCTGTCGAGTCGACTCCGGAAAAGTGCTAAGACGTCTGAATAATTATAATGTTCAAAAAAACTATTGCATGCGGCCGCCACCTCGGAATCGGAAATAGTCTGGCTTTTATCACTAGGGTTTTATTAATAGCTTATAATCATCACATTTTTTTTTAGTTTTTCGAATTCCTCAACGCTAGTATGGTTGTTGGTCATGCACTCCGTGGAATCCGTTCGGGGAAGAAGATTACAGGTAATAAGGCTGTAATTCGTCTACCCTTTTTGGTTTTTACACAGTTAGAATACTACCATCCATTGAATGTGGCCTGCGAAAAGCATTGGTAAGAATTGCATTGTTAGCTCTTTTCGAATTATTCCGCGATTGTGAGTTTTCTTTGCGATCCGTTTGCTCGGGTCAATGATCTTAAATAAATTGTGTTATTTCCACAACATTTGGATATACTCTATTATTCATTTGATCATTTCGAGCCTTTGTAAACATCGCAATACCTATTCAAAACATCAAAGTTCAAGTCGAACTAAGCACTCGCGTACGCTTCATGTTTCTACGACGCGGGACCTAACAATGAAAAGAAAGTAGGCAAACTAGTGTCAAACTCTCTTACAAACACAAGGTAACAATATTGACGATCGCACTGTTAAAAAGTTACCAGATCTCATATAGTGCTATGCTTCTAACTCTACACGCCCTAAGTCTACCTAACTTTACAAACTTTACATTTTGGTCAAAACATGTGTTTCGGCCATTTCGCTACTTTTTCATGGGCGTAAGGTGAAAAATACTATGTTACTACCATGCTCTCCGATTTACTATCTAAGTTTGAATATTACATGTACAAAATTTCAAACACGAAATATACGGAAGAGGCTTAAGCTTACGAATTGTTTTGAGATTTTAGAGTTTATTGCTTATTTTATAAGTTTTAAATTTTGTGTCGTATAAAGATTTTCATTTGCTAATTATGTTTCACTAGAAATAAAACAAGGACTGCTTTTAAATTGGATAATTTCAAAAAGCATCGACCTTCTAAATAAAGTTTAATGAATGTGTGTGTATGTTATGGCCAAGGTGTTTGATAATGTGAGTTACGAGTATATTTGAATAACAATTAATTTTGACACCATTTCAACTCAATAAAAAGCAAGTCTTTTATTATTTTTGGATTGTAAATATATGTCTTAGTATTACTTAAACAGGCGCGTTGGCTTCAAATATCTAAGTTAACAAATTGTTACAGTAACTAGGCAGATACCAAATAGGTTTAGAATTTTCGAACTAAAAGAGATCTAAAAGATCGTCGCGTACGATTTAAGCGGTCTATCACGAGATCATAGGTTCTGACATGTCGTCCGTACAGTACAGTAGGTCCATTATTTAGGGAATTCAACGTCTCGATCTTGATAAAGGCGGGAATCGGACCACAGTGAGTGCGGACGACTCACTCGCGCATTATCTCCCATCTCACGGGGACACTTTTAATTACCTGCATGCAGCTCAGTCCCGTCGCCCTCCCCGATTTTACCGAATGCTAAGTATTTTTCTCTATGTTAATGAAATCGGGATGGTACATACGACAGCTAACTGTAGAAACGATATTGCTTTCATGTACAAATTTATTTCCTTTTTAAACTGGAATAGTAAGTTAATCTGTGATCATTTAATACTGAATAATTATATTAACAGGGAGGGAGGTTTTAAAAGCTTTATCGTTGGTCCAAGCATATTTAACGAAATCCTAAAGTTTAGAAGAAGACATGAAACTTGTTTACGTGCGAAGCTAAATTTTGTTGTAATGCGTTTAGTTGATAAGTATTTGGTAATGCTTGTGTCTAAAAGTTTTTGTACGTATGATCTCATTATTGGCAGATAGGTGGCCGACTACTTATTTACAATAGTTTCAAATTTAGTTGTTAGGGTTGTTAGGCAATGATCTATTTTTCTGTACTTTTCAGTCAAACTTGGAAGCATGACGGCCTACAATCTGACTTTTTTTGAAATACCTACATACTTTAAGATTCTAAATTCCAATAGTTTCAAATTAATAAGTTGACTTTGGTGTTATTCCGATAATAATCTTTGGAGGGATTCTGATTCATAAGTACACATGACTAGCGACCGGTTTCGGTTGAAAAAAGCATCTGGCTGTTTACCGAGTCCACCCACAGAACGAGTACAAATTAAATGACGTGTGGTATAATATTATAGGGCTATAACTGACATGTAGGACATCGCGACATCGGTGCTGAATCGCCCGACGCCTCGTTCTTATGCTGGTTTCGTTCGCATTTTATTGGCATATGTATGAACTTTGCGCTTAACACTCGTGAGGAATCACGACGTGAGGCCTTGTTTAGTAAATAGTACTACGACCAAAAACCGTCCATGTCAAACAGCGGAAGAAAATCATTAAATAAGAGGTACGTCTTAAAAACGGGATGTGTTGCTGGAGTTATAAAATGTCTATGAATGGAACAGTATTTACAGAAGTTCTGTAAAGCAAAAGTGATAGAACCAGGGGTTTTGAGTGCAGTAACATAAACGTAATACATTAGTGAGAGAAAATATACTTAAAAAAAATAAGGAATACAGAGGTCCAACGCAGCCGACTGTACGGAACAGTCGTACGGATGCTAAGTTGTGCGTTCGTACGACCATAAATAAATAAATATTTCCAATACTCACACCAATTAGCCTAGCCCCAAAGTAAGCACTATAAGGCTTGTGTTATGGGATACTAGGGTAACGGACAGAATACATAAACTGTAAATATATAAGTATATTTTTATAGAAATACATATTAAACGTCCATGACTGGAGTACAAATGCTCGTATTCATCACACAAACATCTACCCCCACCGGGATTTGAACCCGGGAACTCTCGAGTAGGCGACACCATGAAACCCGGCGTACAAACCACTCGGCCACGGAGGTCGTCAAACCTCCATAACCAGTTTGAAAACTCCTATATAAAAAGGAATAGTTGTGTGGTTTAAATATGTGCTAGATCGAATTCGTTGACATACTGTATATTGAGATTACAGAACAATCTGCAGTCTGAGACTGTAGGAATGATTTTATAAATTATGCTTTTACATTGTACACTGGAAACGTAGCAGCTTATGCGTTCTGCGTATTTAAGGTTACGTGCTTAATACATTATATTTTCACCTTAAATATTACATACATATAAAAAAATAAGAAATTTCAACAGATGCAATAACGGGTAATATTCCAATTCATGAAATTTTCAAAACAATTGACTACGTTGACTCGACCTCTTGTGTTTAAACAGTGTTGATAAAATTTCAAAAACAATTGACAATCTCGACTCGAACCTACCTTATGTAGCTATAGTGCATTGTTAATAGATTTTTGCCCTTCCACCACAGGTTGTATGGGTCGAAACGGTGTGCGCGGTGCAACACGACAATTTCGGCATCGGAGATGGTGATGCGTGCGCGCGACTTGGTGTTTCACGTGCACTGCTTCTTTTGCGCACTGTGCAACACTCCCCTGACAAAGGGCGACACCTTCGGCATCAGGGATTCGGCTGTTTACTGCAGGTGTTTTTTATGCTATGGTAAAGTACGATTGGAACTTTATGGCGGTTGTGAAGGTTAGCAGCGAGCGCGACTATGCGCAGTTTCAGTTCAGAGACATTCCGCGCGCATCTTCGTCACATTTCGTTTTCTACGCTACGACTTGCGATAACTTCACAGTCATCATCAAGTTTGAATCGCACTTAAGCCAATCGGATCCAGCTATCAGCGGACTTTAGTTGTATATATCATTACATAGCATCTACAATATCAGTAGAGATAAGACATAGTTATATAAATTATCATCATTCATTACTTAATTAAGAATTTGTTACAAAAATCTGTAAGCTCTCGAGAAGAATCCATCTAAGAAACTTACTTTCGATGAATAGAAAAAAAACACGAACGAATCACGAACCATTATCAAATTCGAATAGAATAGTTTGGTTGGTTCGTGCTAAGTGTATTGTACCCTTTGCACGAACTAATATCGAATTCGAATAGTTTGTGAGTCCGAAATGTCATTGTTAAATTTTGTATGGAAACTTGAACAGCAACGCCACAAAGGACGTAACGAAACCTTAAAATCAGTACACATTTGACAATGAAATTTCAGACGTGCAAACTATTCGAATTCGATTTGGTTCGTGCTAAGGGCACTGTTGTCCCTATCGCTCGGTATTTGTCAATGCGTTGCGCAAAAGCTTTTACAAATACCTATTTCTCAAAAGTCCCTCAGCTCAACTCCGCTCTTGAATTGCACATTTTATAACTTATCTTAAGTTCTCATGAGATAAGCTATGTTTAACTTTCCTATATTAACATTATTGAATCAAAAAAGTTAAATACTTATTATATTTACAGACTAATATTTCGAATACCACATGTGTAAAATTGAATTTGTTTTAGTAAAATTTTCTTTAAGTTATTCTTTCTGCTTCCTGATCACAACTTAGACCAAACCAATGCCAAATGAAAAAACTTTCTGATGTGTATTTACGGAGATGAAACTTATATAAATGTTCCTTTTGTCTGTATTATCTTTTTGCGTCTTTTTTTATCTTTAATCCGTAAAAGAATGTACTAAGTTATTATGCTTTTTTTTCATTTGCAGGCTGCATTACGAGACTATGCCGGAGTACGGACCCCACATGGCAGTGCCAGCGCCCCCGCAGATGTGCCCAGGGCCATATGCAGGGCCCCCGCCAGGGCCCCACTACCCTCCCTATCCTTCCCCCGAGTTCTCCAGAGTAGAGGCTGAAGTTCCTAAAGGACCCTTCTTTAACGGAGCCGCCGCGCCCCCGCCCCGGCAAAAAGGACGACCCCGGAAAAAGAAACCCAAGGACCAAGAGATCATGACGGCCAACCTCGGTGAGTCGCAGCAAAATAATAAGGCGCCAATGCGAATAAAAGTTTATCTTCTCACAATCTTCGTCCAGTGCTCAGCACCGAGCATAAAGTATTTAGCACCATAAACTTGCCGCGGTGTAATCCGAACGCGCTGAAATGGCCCGCCGCCGACGCCATTTTGTGTTCACAAAATTTTAATATTGATACCTACAAAACGCAGGGGCCCCGGCAACGTTTTCGCCGACAAAACGGTTACAATTTTATTAACACATTAAAGTCAAAACTGCATTTACTCCGCCAGATTATCGGAGTTGACTTCCAGTGTGTGTGTTTTTTTAAAAAGCGAACTCTTTACTTTTTTCGTGATATCGGAACCAGTCCGATTATCTGGCGGCGTCGGTCGGAACGGCCGCGCATGCGGTTCTCCTTCCACAGAATTCCAGCTTAAATTTGAAATTAGAACGTTGCGTGTTACTTAATAAACGGCAAAAACGAGACGGCGGAACGGACTCGCCGCTCTGAAAATAACATCTGACAATAGCATTTTTTAAATCCACCGTAGAAGTGCACATACCACAAAATAATACGAAATCTAATCCGAGATAGTGCGAATGGGGAGCAAGTTTTTTTACACTCATTACATACTTAATGGAGCAAAGGAATTAATTGAAACGCATAAAAATTGCTCTGTACATGGTTGAACAGCTGCTTAACTGAGTTATTAAAGGCCTCGCTATTGATGCCGGAGGTTGTCTGGGTTTTTTTGAGTTATGGAGTGTACTTGCTTACAATTCCATTTTAGAATTGTTGCGACACAAATTTTTTGGTTTCGAGTGGGTACTTTAATGCTAAGGCTAGGAGGTTGGGCTGAAACGTGGCGAAACCAGTTCTTAGGTGTTGCGAGTGATCGCGTGTCGACCGTACAGTCCAGAGTTCATCATACCCACTACATTTCAATGAACCGACATATCGCGGCAAACTCAACGGCAAATCCCTTCTTCCAGGTAAAAAAAAACTATAATGACGCCGTAGAAGTTACGTTAATAGTTAACGTCGTCAATATTTCGAAATTATTATTTATCCAGATGAGTGTGAAACCATTGGTAAGGCGACGCTAAGAGTGTAGTAATTTTTTTTCTCGTAATAACTGACATTAATATTAAGTTGTTAATAAATGTTATAAAATAATGACATAGTGTAAGTATGTAATTGAAATACCTCACAATGCCACGGTAATTTATAGTACCTTATTATTATATTGACAATAAATAATATCAATTACAACAATAATATTGCTTTTATTATTTATTATAAGTTAGCTAGCAAAGGAGATTGCTCAAATTGGCCTAAATGCACAAATAATATTGACATACACGGTAATTCTTGGCGTAATTTATAATTTAATTTACAGTCATTAGATTTTAACGGGCACCTTTGTATAATATATTTACTTTAAAAAGGACTTTTAATTTTACCGGTTTGGAAAACATACGAATCATTTTTAATGGCTATGGGTGTAGTAACATTCAGCCAAAGACTGATCGAATAGTTTATAATTATAACATAAAAACAAATCTATTTTGTAAAGATCGATAAAATAAATCATATTTTTTATTACACTGTGGTCTTAATATCCACAACTATATTATCATTTTCACTAGATGTAAATGTGCTCAGACAATTATTATAGATGGTAGGCGACATCATAAAGTCTATTGACATACATTTTCGACAAACACCTCCATAAACACATTATAATCTGTATATATGTTAGACTTTAAGGTATCTATCAATGGGCCTACGTTCCCTGACTATAAATTAAAAAATTAATAAAATTATAAGGTGTGATACACTAAAAATCTAAAATATGGTTATCTTAAAAACATAACAAAAATAATGAAGCTACTGAATATATGGCTATAGAACCTAAATCTCTTAGCTTTCTTCGGATAACGAGAGTTTAAAAATTCTCTCTAATCTGTGGCTCATTCACAATCATCACACAGTTTCTGTCACAGAGTACCTTATTATAACCGGAAATGACACCTGATTTTAAAAGTTACTCTTATGCATTAACTTTAAACACAGGCAAACTATCTGTTAATCTACATGCTCTATATACCTGAATCTAATCCATAATTTCGGTACTTGGCTTGATTCCCCTAGTTTACTATATAACTTATTTGTTTTTTATTATTTTAATATGTTCAGTGTATATGGTTTATAGAAGTTCTCAGGGGTGTCCGTCAATAATATTCGTTTCTACAGTAATGTATACAGTATACAGTAATGTACAGTAATGTTATATAATTTCGAATCTAGGAAACAATTTTTCATGATTATTGGTCTTTAGGCCAAAAATGTATGGAAGCTGAGCAATCTCCTTTTCATGACTTATACGAAATTATATTCCACAATCATCTAAGTGAAAATATCAGCTTTTGTTTAAAAGGAAATAAATTTATGTAACAATAAAAAAACAACGATGCCTTTTTTATCAACGCAAAATGGGTCATGTTACTTGAGGTTGAAAATAGAAAAACTCCTATTATATTAAAGGGTGCAAATGAAACTACACGGTACAGCAGTTTCAAAGCTTAGTTCAATAAGAAAGAACGTTGCTTTTTGCGTCATAATCTTTAGTGGCAAAAAAATAATTCCGAGTGCACTATAAAACAGTAGTCAAACGCTTCTTGCTTCCCATTATGTTAATACCGCCAACGATAGGGATGGGCGATAGTCGTAAGCGTGTCGTGAAAATAGTAATTATAGCGTAATTGATAATTTATAGTCACTTCACTATTATACTATGGTATCACATTAGCAATCAATACTAAGATATTCGTGGGTGGCAAATTAGATACATTATAGCGCCTGTTCAAGCTTGTCGTTTTTTTCACGGAAGTTATAATTTAATGAGAAATAAATTATGATTTAACAATGTTTATTTATTGAATGTCAGTATCTCTACTATCTGTTCATATACTTAGGAAGTTAGAAACAAATTGTCTTTAAAATATTTTGATTGCAATTATGAGTTTTAGAAATAATATCTTATTAGTTTAGGGGTAGTATAAAGTACATATTTTTAACATACGATGGAGTCATATTGATTTTTAAGATTGATATGGATAAATACAGTGCTAGCTAATTTTACTATGTGTCATGCATGATGCCAGAATATTTTTTTATACTAATTGTTATATACATAATTTTTGCCTTATTCAGTATAAACATATTGAAATAGGTTTCCCCGACAGCGATAAAAATAGGACATCACTCGGTGTGTACGTACGTACAGTAATTAATGCGGATAATGCAAAACAACGTTAAATACTAAGGGTTTTTATACCTTTCAAACATTGTTGCAGATATTCAACGAGCAGGTATCGGTGTTCCAAAGTCACAATTACAGCAGGCACCGCACTGGTGTTTGCACCGGATCGCGTGATCGGCCTGTATTAATCTCGGGTTATAGTTTTGCATGGCACTAATGTGTTGAAATAAGTTAGGTGGATTTATCTATTGTGGGTGAGATGCGCAGACGAAAGTTACCGTTACCAGACAGCACACCGCTGATTAATACCAACAAAAACTGAACACACGAAAGAAATTTGTTTTATAAGATTTGTGAGAAACTTCCAATTTAATTAGCCTTTGTGTTAGACAAACTAGAGTCGGGATTAGCCTAAAGAGTGAAGTTGGTAATGAAATCTAAAAACATAAAGATTAATATGTATTATAATATTCGGCCACGCCTTGCGGTTTTGTAATATATACGCTTAGAATCGTCTCGGAAGAGATGTTTTGATATGAATGAGCTATTTATTTACAAAACAAGAGATAAAAAATCCTTTACTTTCTTAAAATGTAAATTCGCTTTTAGTAAACTTAATATTAGTATTTACTGATTGATACCCAATTCCTCAATATTTTTTTTTGTTTCCGAAGAAATACTTTATTTTTACATTAAGGTTCACTTACAGCAATTTTGCTATATCTCAATTTAATCACAAAAATATTTTGCCTAAAAATAATGTCACATTGATATTGACATTTTGACATGTTTCTGTGGGATATACACCTAGTTTTAGATAAATCGAGATTTAAAAAAATTGCTGCAAGTGGACCTAAATATAATGTATAGCCTAGCAAGGCCAACAATGAGAATACACTGACATACTAATATCGCTCTAATTGATACTTTAACAAAGTGCTGTCTTTGTCAATCTATAACTAAGTGAAATAATACAAAGTAAATAATACAAATGTGTCGGAAAGGAGATATTGTCAAAAAACTGCTTTTAGGCGCCATTTTTCCAATTAGGTGGCTCGAGCGGCAAAAATACGAGGTGGCAAAGTCAAAATTCGGAAAGAGCACCTCAAAATTTATAAAATTACCAATTTTCAAAACTCCCGGAAAACTTTCCAGGTAACCACTATATTTCTCACTAAATGACTGTACTATAAACTTTGTAAAAATATTTTACGGGTAAACTATATCTTTCCGTCTTTTGTTACTAGACATATTAAAAGGATGTTGATTTAAAACTGTGTGCATCAAGGTGCTGTCCGACGATCTGTGTTGCGGACGAGGCCGCGCCGCGCATGCCTGCCAACCGTATGGGAATTCTAACGTTTAAGATAAATTAAGATTAACAGTATCTGTACATGATGGATTATTTATTTTTCCACATTGAGTGCGTTCGCATATATTTTTCTCAAATAATTTAAGCTGGGTGCCTCTTATACCCAAAGATTCTAGTTTTTGCAACAATATGGGTACGGAAACTGCACCAAATGCTTTTACTAGATCAAGAAATATACCTATTGTCTTATTACCCTTATCGAGCTCCTCTACTAAATAGTCAGTAAGTTGATGAACAGCGTCGGCAGTAGATAACTTGGACCTTAAACGGTTATAATTTACAAGGTGGCGATTCTATGATAACTGACGTGTAGGCCATAAGACCACAAAGATGGCTGCAACGTAGCGTAGGGTCGATGTCAAACCAAAACCT